CCCCCCAGGGGCCCCCCAGGGGCCCCCCAGGGGCCCCCCAGGGGCCCCCCAGGGGCCCCCCAGGGGCCCCCCAGGGGCCCCCCAAGGGCCCCCCAGGGGCCCCCCAGGGGCCCCCCGGGGGGCCCCCAGGGGGCCCCCAGGGGCCCCACGGGGACTCTACAGAGGCCCCACAGGGGGACCGCAGGAGGCGCTCCATTGCTGTTGCTGCTGCTGCTGCTGTTGGTGTTGCTGCAGCTGCTAGTTCAGCTCCTGCAACTGTTGCAGCAGCTACTTTTGCTGCTGCTGCTGCTACTGCCGTTGCTGCTGCTGCTGCTGCAGGGAAGCGACACAGCCGTGCAGCGCAGCCGCCTTGTCTTTTAGGGGCAGCAAAAAGACCGTAGGAGACCTCAAGGCTTGTGTCTCTTTGCTGCAGCAGCAGCAGCAGCAGCAGCAGCAGCAGCAGCAGCACTCGCCTGCAGTGTTTGTCTGGCACGCGTTGATGGGAGCCTGGCGCGGCTGCACACAAGAGCTGCTGCAGCAGGAACAGCTGCCGCAGCTGCTGCCGCTGCTGCAGCAGGACTGCAAGCCCCTTCTGCCCCGCGGTGAGTTGCAGCAGCAGCAGCAGCAGCAGCACTAAATGCAGCAGCGGCAGCCGCTCTGACCACAGCAGCAACAATGCAGCAGCAGCAGCAGTGGCAGTACCAGCGGCTGCAGCAGCAGCACCTGTGTCATCAGCATTAGCAGCAGCAGCAGCAGCAGCAGCAGCAGCAGCAGTAGCAGCAAGGTGCTGCTTTCGCCTGCCTGTGAGGCTTCAGGTCTGCTGCTGCAGGGGGCCCCACCCCCCCACTTGCTGCAGTGGGGGGCCCCCCTAAACTATTTGGACCCTCGGGGGGCCCCCCCCCTCTTTTGCTGCTTCTATGGGGCCCTTGCTGCATGCGGCATCAGTGGCTGCAAGGTGGACGCGCTGTCGCTGCTCGTCATGGCAGCAGCAGGTGCTGCTGCTGCTGCTGCTGCTGCTGCTGCTGCTGCTGCTGCTGCTGGTGGAGCTGGTGCTGCCCTTGAGGACGGGGAGGCGAAGCGCACAGACGACCCTGCTGCTGCAGCCGATGCAGCAGCAGCAACAGCAGCAGCAGCAGCAGCAAATGAGGACGCAGCCGCGACAAGAGCAGCAAATGCAAGAGGCACAGCAGCAGCAGAAGCAGCAGCAGCAGCAGCAGCAAGGCCTGCTGCTCTTAAGCAATTTGGAGGCAGCAGAGCTTTTCACCACTACGTGCATGCACTCACAGATGCAGCAGTTGCTTGCTTTGAGCCCAAACAGCAGCAGCAGCAGCAGCAGCAGAAGCAGCAGCAGCAGCAGCAGCAGCAGCAGCTCTACCAACTCTACCGCGAAGCCCCGCGGCCCCGCCGCGTGCAGTGCCGCCGCAGCAGCAAGAGCTGCTGCTGCTGCTGCAGCTGCGACGAGTGGGCGCCTGCGGCGGCGTCAGCAGCAGCTCCCGCAGCAGCAGCCGCAGAACTCCCGGCAGCAGCAGCAACAGCAGCTGCAGCGGCCCCAGCAGCAGCAGCAGCAGCAGCAGCAGGGGGCGCTCACGCTGCTGCTGCGGAGGCCTGCAGTGTATGTACAGCAGCAATGACCTGCATGGGCTGCTGGGGCCCCTGTGTCTGGCAGCAAAAGCATTTCATAATCAGCAGAACTTCAGATGACCACAAAGCCCCAAATGCAAGCCTGCTGCTGCTGCTGCTGCTGCTGCTGCTGCTGCTGCTGCTGCTGCTGGTGCTGATGGTGCTCGTTGTTGGGTGGATGCTGCTGTTGTTGCTGCTGTTGCTGCTGCTGCTTGGGGGGTGCTGCTACTGCTGCTGCTTGCTTAGATGCTGCTGCTGCTCTTTGGGGTGGTGCTGCTGCTGCTGCTGCTGCTGCTGCTTGCTTAGATGCTGCTGCTGCTGCTGCTGCTGCTGCTTGCTTAGATGCTGCTGCTGCTGCTTGCTTTTAGGTGCTGTTGCTGCTGCTGCTGTTGTTCGTGCCACTGCTTCTCACGCATTTCGTACTGCTGCTGCTGCCGGTGCTGCTGCTGCTGCTGCTGCTGCTTTTTTGCTTCTTCATGACTCCGCTTTTGCTGCTGGCACTGCTGCTGCAGCTGCTGCTTGCAGCTGCAGCAGCAGGTAAGATTCTGAGGGTTTAGGGTTTAGGGTTTAGGGTTTGGAGTGCTGCGCTTCTCCTGTTCAGTGCGAAGAAACCTCTGCTTCTGTTTGCTCTCATATTTGGGCCAACGCGGCGACGGCGCTGTGGGTGGGGCCCTTTGTGCGCTGCGGTGAGGGTTTAGGGTTTAGGGTTTAGGGTTTAGGGTTTAGGGTTTAGGGTTTTGGGGAGTGCACCGTCAGGCTGGAAGCTGAGGGTTTAGGAGGCAAATGGTTTGCTAGCAGGCAGTTCGGCCGGCTCGAAATCTCCCCCAAAACCAAACCCTAAACCCTAAACCCTAAACCCTAAACCCTAAACCCTAAACCCTTGCTGCTCAGACTGGGACATGCTCTCGCTTTGCCAGTGGCACTCTTACCTCCAGTGCGCTGCGAGGGTTTTGAGCGGAGGCCCCATTTATGTTTCGGACTCTCCCCAAGACCTGAAGCGCCACCCCCAGCCCGTAAACCCTAAACCCTAAACCCTAAACCCTAAACCTAAACCCTCGGCCACTCCCTCCGCCCCCCTGCGTCGCCGACAAATCCCTGCGGCTTCATACGAATTAGGGTTTAGGGTTTGGACCGTTTTGCTGCAGCTGCAACTAATTAACCGCCTCTGCGTCGGCCCCTTTGGGGGGCCCCCACACCCCTCGGGGGCCCCCAGGGGGCCCCCAGGGGGCCCCCAAGAGGGGCCCCCTAGGGGCCCCCGGGGCCCCCCTTCCTGGCGGCTGCTGCGGTGTATCTCTGTGGGGCTTCCTATGGAAGACTGTCTTTTCTTAGACCCGCGGAAAACCCCTGTTGGGTAAACCCTAAACCCTAAACCCTAAACCCTAAACCCTAAAGTGGCGTTTTCAGCGTTTGAGCCCGTTTCTGCTTCGTTGAGATAAGGCTGAGAAAGCCCACCGCGTTGCCCTGGGAGCCTGCAGCCTAGGGTCTAGGGTTTAGGGTTTAGGGTTTAGGGTTTAGGGTTTGCGGTTTAGGTACAAGATTTGGAACTTGTGCACTGGAGGGTTTCTCGTGGGGGTCTTTGGGCTGTACGAGGCCCCCGGGGGCTGTACGTACACTGCGCTGCTGCAGCAGCAGCAGCTGCTGCTGCTGCAGCAGCAGAGGGGCCCTTGGGTGCAGCAGCAGCAGCAACCCCCCAAAGATCTTCTTTGCTGCGATATTGAGGACTGGAACGCAGCACCCCTTCACTGCCAGTAAACCCTAAACCCTAAACGCCAAACCCTAAACCCTTTTTGAAACCTTAATCCTAAACCCTAGGCCCTTATGTAATCCACAGGGTCTCGAGCTGGAAGCTGAGCAGTAGGGATAAGGGTTTAAAGTTTGCGAGGATGCGCAGGCACCCCTGGGGTTTAGGGTTTAGGGTTTAGGGTTTAGGGTTTAGGGTTTAGGGTTTAGGGTTTGGTTGCAGGCACCCATGGGTGGTTTCTGTGCACTTTGCCACCTGCCGCCTCTTCGCAATTTGCCCCATTTATATTTTAGAAAGAGAGTGCAGCAGGGGGGCCCCCAAGGGGGGCCCCCAATTGACAAATGGGGCCCTTATTGGGGGCCCCCCAGAAGACAAGGGGGGCCCCCAGGGGGCCCCCTGCAAAGCCCGGGGGGCCCTTGTGGGGTTTAGGGGGCCCCTGGCTGCCCCTGCAGCATTTCTGTTTCCTCCTGGTGTGGCAAGATTTACGGTGGCAGCAGCAGCGGAGCAGCAGCAGCAGCAGCAGCAGCAGCAGCAGCAGCAGCCGCAGCAGCAGCAGCGTCTTTTGCTGCAGCTAGAAGAGCCCGTTGCTGCAGCAGCTTGCTGCGCTGCTGCTGATGGACAAGGGGGCCCCTTGGGGGCCCTAGGAGAAGAAATTGCTGCTGCTGCTGTTCCTCAGCAAGGCACCGTAGGCCAAACCCTAAACCCTAAACCCTAAACCCTAAACCCTGGACCCTAGACGCTGAGCCCCAGAGGAGTCTTCCTGGTTGCAGCCTCACGACTCGCTGCAGCAGAGGGTTTAGGGTTTAGGGTTTAGGGTTTAGGGTTTCTGCATTCAGGGCCTCTTTGCTCAAGTTGTTGCAGCAGGGTGTATTGTCTTTTGGTATGAAGGGCCCCAAGACCCTTGCTGCCTTCTCCTACGCCCGGGGGCCCCCACCCTGGGGGGCCCCTCTGGGGGCCCCCCTGGGGGCCCCCCTGGGGGCCCCCCTGGGGGCCCCCCTGGGGGCCCCCTTGGGGGCCCCATTAAGGGGCCCCCCAAAGCATTATGCCCTTTGTCTCTGTGGGGCCTTGAGGCCTATGCTAGTGTGCAGGCGAACGTGGGGGACCTCTGCAGAGGGCCCCTGGGGGCCCCATCTCGAGGGGCCCCCAGGGGGCCCCCCAACTTAGGGGGGCCCCAGGGGGCCCCCCAAAATGGGGGCCCCCCTCCAAGGGGGGGCCCCCCGGGGGCCCCCGTCTGCAGGAGCAGCGTGCGTTCTGGGCCCCAGAACCTTGAAAGGGGCCCTTTAAAGGGGCCCCCCAACTGCAGCGTACCCTATGAGGCTTTGTGCTGCCTCCGCTGCGGGGGCCCCCTGGGGGCCCCCTCTTTTGCTGTTTTGGGGGCCCCCAAAGCCACAGCAATGAGAGACTGTCCTTATGGGGGGCGGCTGTTTACGCTGGAGGTGGCAGCGGGAGATGTGCTGCTGCTGTTGCTGCTGCTGGTGTGGCTGAGGTGGACTGCTAAAGGGATGGCGACTGCGCCAGGCATGAGCTGAAAGGGGTCAGCTTGGAGACTAGGGTTTAGGGTTTAGGGTTTGGGGTTTAGGGTTTAGAGTTTTGCATTTAGTGTTCAGTGTTCAGCGCTCGTGATTCCCGAAGATCTAAATCAAGCGGTTAACGATTTAGATCTTTGGCTTTGCGTTTTAGGGTTTAGGAATTAGGGTTTAGGGTTTAGGGTTTAGGGATATGAGCTAGGGTTTAGGGTTTGCAACGGGGCGGAAGCCCCTGGCCGGGCAAGGTGACCATGGGTCACCTCGTGGGGGGCTTTGTCGCAATGCTGGAGAATCAGAAACCCTAAACCCTAAAATAGAGTTTAAACATAATTAATTCTCAACTAAAAAACCTTTGGCAGCTCCCAGTGTACGTTTTGGGGCTCCAGGGGTCCCCGGAGACCGCAAGGGTTTAGGGTTTAGGGTTTAGGGTTTAGGGTTGGCGGGGGAGCTGCAGCGTCTCCAGTCCCCCCCAGAGCCACACTGCGCCCTTTAAAGTCAAACTTAGCTTTTGTCTCCAGGGTTTAGGGTTTAGGGTTTAGGGTTTAGGGTTTAGGGTTTCGGGGTGCCCTCATGCTGCACCAATGGCCTGCTGCTGCTGGCCCACGGGGGCCCCGGGGGGCCCCTGAGGGTTTGGGGCCCCAGGGGCCCCCTGGTGACCCTGAGTTCCAAAACCCTCAAACCCTAGAAGATCTTGCTGAGGGGAGGGTTCATTCAGCTCTGGGTGGCGAAAGACCAGCAGCAGCAGCAGCAGCAGCAGCAGCAGCAGCAGCAGCAGCAGCAGCAGGGCGGGTTAGGTATTTTGGGTGTTGGGGGTTTTGCTGGGCGTGGGGGCGGCAGCTTGTCAAGGTGCTGCTGCTGCTGCTGCTGCTGCTGCTGCTGCTGCTGTACGCTGCTACCCGGCAGCTGCTGCTGCTGCGCACCCAAGACTTCGAGCTGCCCCAGTACCCTGAGCAGCAGCAGCAGCAGCAGCAGCAGCAGCAGCAGCAGCAGCAGCAGCAGCAAGTGCTGCACATCCTACCCGAGCCTGTCCCCCATGACTGGCCTCCAGCGCTGCTGCGACCGCCCGCGCCTTTACCTGGCTGCGAGTTCGCTCTAAACCCTAAACCCTAAACCCTAAACCCTAAACGCTAAGCCGTAATCGTTCAGACTTTTACTTGCAAACGCCTTGAATCTGCATATTAAGGTTTAGGGTTTAGGGTTTAGGGTTTAGGGTTTGGCTGCTGCGCAGGGCCGTCCTTGAGGGCTCTCAAACCCTCGCCCCCGCCAGCATCATTGTGGCTGTGAGCGACAGAGATCTGCTGCTGCTGCAGCAGCTGCTGCAGCAGCTGCTGCAGCACACTCCGCAGCAGTTGCTGCAGGAGGTGCTTCTGGCTCCCTACCAGCAGCAGCAGCAGCAGCAGCAGCAGCAGCAGCAGCAGCAATATTACATACTTAAGGACGGGGGCCCCCTGGGGCCACTGCTGCCGCTGCTGCAGCAAACCCCTAAAGTCAGAGTGCTACCTGAGATTCAAAAGAGTCAGACCCTAAACCCTAAACCCTAAACCCTAAACCCTAAACCCTAAATCTTCTGTTACATGGAAAAAATGGCAGAAAGTGCCCGAAAAGGCGCAGCGAGCCTGAGCCGCTGCAGCCTAGGGTTTAGAAATTAGGGTTTAGAAATTAGGGTTTAGGGTTTGCAGTCTTTTGTTTGAATGCAGCTTATGCTGCTGCAGTGTTTGCTGCTGCTCGAGCAGCGGCTGCTGCTGCAGTCGTTGTGCTGCCTCCTGAAGCGCGGGTCTCTCCCCACTGGCTGCAGCCGTTGCTGCTGCTGCTGCAGCAGCAACAGCAGCAGCAGCAGCAAGCCATCATATTTCCTGCAGAGGCAAAGACAATGGGGGCCCTCTGGGGGCCCCCAGGGGGCCCCCGTTGTCACAAGGGTAAGCCCAGAAAGGGTATGGCGGAAGAAGATCCTATGCGCTGCTGCTGCTGCTGCTGCTGCTGCTGCTGCTGCTGCTGCTGCTGCTGCTGCATTTATCTCGGAGCTGCTGTTGCATGCGCCTTGCTGCTGCAGCTGAGCTGAATTGGGCGCTAGACCTGCGCGCCGTAGCTTCCCGAAGTGCAGCACCAACAGCAGCAGCAGCAGCAGGCGCAGCAGAAGGAGCAGCAGCAGCAGCAGCAGCAGCAGCAGTGGCCTCTGCTGCGCTGCCTGGAGCAGCATTTGCTGCAGCAAAAGCCTTGCTGCTTGCTGCTGCTTCCCCAGATCCGCTGCTGCAGCACAGAGCTGGGGTGTCTCTTGAGCTTTCTCTTTTTGCTGCTGCTTGTGGGGTTGCTGTTGCATGCGCCCCCTGCAGCTGTATATACACCTCAGACCCCAGCCCTCCCCGCAGCAGAAGAGTAAACCCTAAACCCTAAACCCTAAACCCTAGAATTTGCCCACCGCAGGCCTTCCTGCGGCTGCTGGGGAGAACGGGCAGTGCCGCTGCGGCTTTCTTCTGTTCCTAGGGTTTAGGGTTTAGGGTTTAGAGCTTGGTTCGAGCGTTTGCTGGCTAGGTTTTAGGGTTTAGGGTTTACGGGCCAGGGTCTAGGGATTTAGGGCTTGCGTTCAAGGGATAGGGTTTAGGGTTTACGGGCTAGGGTTCAAACTTTAGGTGCTAGGGTTTAGGGTTTAGGGTTTAGGGGCTAGGGTTTAGGGTTTAGGCTTTGCGCGGCGCAGGAAGAGGAGCGGCTGCTGCTGCAGAGCAAACTGAGGGTTGCTGAGGCCTGGCTGGGAGACGCTGCAATGCTGCCTTGGTTAGTTTGAGGGTTTAGGGCTTAGGGTTTAGGGTTTAGGGTTTAGGGTTTAGGGTTTAGGGTTTAGGGCCATTTTCTAGGAGCCGCCATGCTGGCTGCTGCTCCCCCCTTGGCTCCTTTTTCTCTTCTGTCTTCGCGGCCCTCAGCCTTAAATATTTATTTATCTTTTTGACAAATAAAAATATTAAATAAATAAATAAATAAATAAATAAATAAATAAATAAATAAATAAATAAATATTTATTTGTTTATTTATTTATTTATTTTTGGGGCATTTTAGGATTGCCTTGGGGGAGCCGAACATCTTTCTGGGGGGCAGCCCAAGTCCCCTGCCCAGCCGCCTAGCAGCAGCAGCAGCAACAGCAGCAGCAGCAGCAGCAGCAGCAGAAGCAGCAGCAGCAGAAGCAGCAGCAGCGAATTCTGCAACAGGACCTGCTGCTGATGCAGCAGCAGCTGCAGAACATACGGCAACAGGCCCAAAAGACCAATCCAAAGCAGCAGCAGCAGCAGCAGAATTTGTGAGAACGTGCAGCAGAAACAAAGCAGCAGCAGCAGCAGCAGCAGCAGCAACAGGACTTGTTCCCGGGCTCCCTGCAGCACCGCTAGAGGACATTATCCCCCTTCTAGGTGAGTGCAGCAGCAAACCCTAAACCCTAAACGAGGGCGTAGGGTGGAGGGGCTTGTTGAGTTCGGAGCTGCGAAGGTTTAGGGTTTAGGGTTTAGGGTTTAGGGTTTAGGGTTTAGGGTTTAGGGTTTGCGATTAGGCAACATTAAGTGGCTCAGAGGGCCCAGATGGCCCCCCCTTTGCCTCTCTTGGAGCGACAGCAAATCGCTGCAGCAAACCCTAACAGTCACGACAGACTGCGCAGCAGATCACGCCTTATTTGCTGCCTTGCTGCTGCAGCAGCAGCAGCAGCAGCTGCAGCAGCAGCAGCTGCAGCAGCAGCAGCAACTTTTGCAGATCCGCGGTGTACATACAGCTAATGTAGATAACTGCCTCAACAGCCAGCTGCTGGCTGTTCCTTGCGACCCTGAAGACCATGATCAGTGGTAAACCCTAAACCCTAAACCCTAAACCCTAAACCCTAAACCCTAGACCGTTGAGCAGCAGCTTGAAGGGCCAAAAAATGGTTTGCTGCAGGTGGACGTACACTGAAAGGCTGCTGCTGCAGCACGCAGCGAGCCAGCGCTGTCTGTCCATACACCTCAAAGGGCTGCTGCTGCTGCTGCTGCCCTGCGACTCGGAGGATGTGTACCAGGTGAGAGCTGCTGCTGCTGCTGCTGCTGCTGCTGCTGCTGCTGCTGCAACTGCAGCCGCTGCAGCAGGAAAGTCACTACGCGCATGAGGGCAGGTTTAAAAAGCCTCAGCCTCAGCAGCTGCTGCTTCTGCTCCTGTTCCAGAAGCAGCTGCTGCTGTTGCCAACGCTGCTGCTGCTGCTGCTGCTGCTGCTGCTGCTGCTGCTGCTGCTGCTGCAGCACTGGCGGTGGCCCCCGTCTGTCTTCCGGAAGTGGGTGCCCTTGGGGTCACCTGAGAAGCTGCAGCAAACATCCTACTCCGTGCTGCAGCAGGAGCAGCAGCAGCTGCAGCGGCTGCTCGAGCTCTCCAGACGCAAAAAGCCCCCCAAATCAAGCTCCAAACCCTAAACCCTAAACCCTAAACCCTAAGCCCTGGGGCAGCCCTCAACTCCGCAGGCTGTCAGTGCAAGCATTGCTTCCTCATCTTCCTCCTCAGCAGCAGCAGCAGCAGCAGCAGCAGCATTAGCAGCATCCGCAGCAGAGAAGCGACGGGGAACTTCCTGCAGCAGAGCTGCAACCTCGGGGGGTAAGGACTCATCATCGTCGCCTTCACCCTGCTGCTGCTGCTGCTGCTGCTGCTGCTGCTGCTGCTGCTGCTGCTGCTGGTCGCTGGTTGAAATTCCACGGGCAATTGGGTCGACGGCCATTAAAGGCAGCAGAGCCTGCAGCAGCAGCAGCAGCAGCAAAAAGGCAGCATCTTCAGCGAAGGGCTTGGCAGTTTCGCAGCAGCCGTAAAGCAGCAGCAGCAGCAGCAGCAGCAGCAGCAGCAGTTGCTGCTGCTGCAGTAGCAGCACCCATATCGACACGAACACCTGAAATGGCAGCAGTAGAAGCTGTTGCTGCAGCAGCAGCAGCAACAGCAGCAGCAACAACAGACTTTTTGGATGTTGCTGAAGAGGTTTGGGATTTCCTTTTCCTGTTCGCTCAGCAGAAGCTTCACGCGGTGTCTCTGCCCACAAACCCTAAACCCTAAACCCTAAACCCTAAACCCTAAACGCTAGGTGCCACACCTCGGGAGCAGCGTTTCGGGTGGCCTGGAGAGCCACCAGCAGAGTGAGTTTGGGTTTAGGGTTTAGGGTTTAGAAGTTCGGCGTTTGGCTAGGTTTTCCGCTAGGGTTTAGGCTAGAACGCGCAGCTGTTTAGGGTTTAGGGTTTAGGGTTTAGGGTTTAGGGCATTAGCAGCAAGGGGAAGGGGCTGCTGAGTGCTGCTGCTTCCTGCTTCTGAGCCAAGGACGGCCCTGCCCAGCCGCCGCGAGGGTCTACGGCTAGGCCTTAGGGCTTAGGGCTTAGGGTTTAGGGTTTAGGGTTTAGGGTTTAGGGTTTAGGGTTTGCCTCTTTGGGGTGGGCGAAGCAGGCGGGGCAGTTCTCATTTATTACTGGCAGCAAATTTGTCTCAGCGAAATTTTGCGTCGAAATTTCCCGCGTGAAAGCCAGCGGCCGAATTACCCGCAGGGCCCCACACGCGGGCCTGTAGTGGCACTGCAGCAGCAGCAGCAGCAGCAGCAGCAGCAGCAGCAGCAGCAGCAGCAGCAGGAGTGGCAGGGGCAGGGGCGGCAGCAGCGGGGGCGCAGCAGCAGCAGCAAATGCGGCGCAGTCAATATATTCGTTTTTCTGAGTGTGTCTCAAGGAGAAGGCACCGCGAAAAACCCTAAACCCTAAACCCTAAACCCTAGAATCGAAACCCCAAACCCTAAACTCTAAACTCTAAAATCTAAACCCCAAACCGTAAACCCTTAACCCTTGACTCTAAAGCCAGAATTCGAAGTCATACACCGTAGACCCTACGCCCTGAGCCGAACTCCCAAAACCCTAAACCCTAAACCCTAAACCCTAAACCCTAAACCCCAAACCCTAAACCCTAGCAAAGTTACCTTCATGGTGTTTAGTTTGCCATTGTTGAAGACAGACATTACGAAAGACTCTGCGAGGTCATCTAAGTGCTGCCCCAGGGCCAGCACGTTATACCCGTGCTGCACGCAAACCCTAAACCCTAAACCCTAAACCCTAAACCCTAAACCCTGAACCCTCGGGCAGGAGCCGACAGGCAGCGGCAAGGAAGACGCAGGATGGAGGCAAATAATGAAAAGAGACAAAAAGAAACAAACACTTCCAGAGCAGCAAATACGCAAGCGAACAGACAGCAGCAGCAGCAGCAACAGCAGCAGCAGCAGCAGCAAGGCTCAGCCGCACTAGCAAGTATGCCAAAGCCTGCAGCAGCAGCACCATCAGCAGCGCGAGCAGCAGCATCGTCACCATATGCAGAAGCAGCACTCATCAGCAGCAGCATTATCTGCAGCAGCAGCAGCATTATCTGCAGCAGCAGCAGCACTATCTGCAGCAGCAGCAGCAGCAGCAGCAGCAGCAGCAAACCTTGCGCATGCAGGAGTACAGCAGCCCCCTGCGCAGTCGGGAGCAGAAGGCGCAAATGGACTGTCTCTTCATGCAGCGCTTGGCCAGCTCCATAATGGGCAGCTGCAGCCGATACCACTCAACCCCTGCGCAGCAGCAGCAGCAGCAGCAGCAGCAGCAGCAGCAGCAGGCAGCAGCGGCAGCAGCAGCAGCAGCGAAGTGTGCAGCAGCCAGGGGGAGCAGCTGCAGGCGCAGCAGGTGAGCGGGGGCTCGAGCAGGTCGGCCGCGGCTCCCTCGCCGAGGGTTCAAGAACTAGGGTTTAGGGTTTAGGGTTTAGGGTTTAGGGTTTACCGAGGCTGCGGAGGTAGGGCCCCAGGGGCGCGGGGTTGAAGCTGGCAGTGAGGGGGTCCACAGTAGCAGCAGCAACGTGGAAGCTTATGGGGGCCCTTTGCTGCAGCTCCAGCAGCAGCAGCAGCAGCGTGAGGCTGTCTTTGCCTCCAGAAAGCCCCACCAAAACCCTATCTCCTTGCTGCAGCATTTTGAATGCATGCAGCGCCTGCCCCACAGACCGCCGCAGCGAACGCGGGATCTGCAGCCCCGCCAGGCCCCTTGCTGCTGCTGCTGCTGGCGCTGCTGCTGCTGCTGCTGCTGCTGCTGCTGCAGGGGCTGCTGCTGGGGCTGCTGCGGCGGCTGGGGCCGCTGCTGCTTCGGCGGCTGCTGCTGCTGGGGCTGCTGCTACGGCTGCTGCGGCTGCTGGGGCTGCTGCTGTTTCAGGTGCTGCTGCTGCTGCTGCGGCTGCTGGGGCTGCTGCTGCTGCTGCTGTTGCTGTTGCTGCTTCTGGGGCTGCTGCCCTTGCTGATGATGATGCTGAGGGTGCGGCAGGGGCCTCTGCTGCTGCTGCTGTTGCTGCAGATGCTGCTGCTGCTTCTGCTGGTGACCTTGAGGGTGCTGCTGGCGCGCTTTCTGCTGCTGCTGCTGCTGCTGCTGCTTTTTGTGACTTCGCCGCTTTTTGCTGCGGTTGCCGCTTCTGTCGCTGGCGCTGTTGCTGCTGCTGCTGCTGTTGCTGCTGCTGTTGCTGCTGCTGCTGTTGCTTTGTGGCCTTCTGTTTGTTTTCCCGCTTCGGCAACTCTGAATACGAGTAGTCCAATCCGTGAGTACTGCCGCTGTTGCTGCTGCTGCTGGTGGTACTGCTGCTGCTGCTGCTGCTGCTGCTGCTGCTGCTGCTGCAAGGAGTCCAGGGGTCACTCAAGGCCATGCACATTTCGATATACTTTTGAAGTGCAGCGCATGCGCTGCAGTGGCTGGGATTCTGGCTGCTGCTGCTGCTGCTGCTGCAGCAAGCGCTGCTGCTGCTGCTGCTGCTGCTGCTGCTGCTGCTGCTGCTGCACTTGCAGACACACTGCTGCGGCTGCTCCGCTGGGTAGCGCCTAACTTCAAAGACAGAGTCAATAGCCCTTAAGACGCTGCCTTCCTGCTGCTGCTCGCTTGGTGCAGCAGCAGCAGCAGCAGCAGCAGCAGCAGGCGCTGCAGCAACCCACCGCACTGCTGCTTCAGCAACAAGCGGCCGCATCTCTTCTTCTCCCTCCCGCTGCAGCAAGGAGACAAGCTGCGTGTCTCCTTCGTGCTGCTGCAGCCTCTGAGTGACCTGAGAAAACGTCTCCAAAACCTGCTGCTGCTGCTGCTGCTGCTGCTGCTGCTGCTGCCGCTGCTGCTGCTGCTGCTGCCAGCTGGCGAGCGACGCCCTGCCGTCTTCGGGAAGAGCAAACCAGAGCATGGAAGCAGCAGTTTGCAGCACCTTCGCGTGGTAGGCTCCCGCTGCTGCTGCTGCTGCTGCTGCTGCTGCTGCTGCTGGGGGCCCCAGCCGCGGCTGCAGCAGCGGCCCCAGCAAGGGGGCCCTGAAGCCCAGCGGAGAAGAAGGCGGCAGCCGCAGCAGCAGCGGCCGATTTGCTGCCTCGCTGCTGAACCTGCGGATGCAGCTGGAAGCAACTTTGTTGGCAAACTGCAGCATTTCAGCCACGGGATCTGCTGCTGCTGCTGCTGCTGCTGCTGCTGTTGCTGCTGTTTGCCCGCGGCGCCTGTGTCTGCTGCTGCTGCTGCTGCTGCTGTAGATTTTGGGGTTGAAGTCGCTCAGCCAGACGCGGTGCTTCTCGTCGGCTGCTCCTTTGCCGCCAGCAGCAGCAGCAGCAGCGCCTGCTGCTGCTGCTGCTGCTGCTGCTGCTGCTGGCTTTGGGGTCCAGTCCCCCGTCTCTGCATCCACAGAGTAAGCTGGCAGCAGCTTGTAGCCGTGTGTTGCAACCCAGAGGACTGCGAGCAGCAGCTGCTGCAGCTGCTGCTGCTGCAGCGCGAGAGAGACGCTGACGCGGACGACCCCGGGGCGCAGCAGCTCCTGCCCCGTCAGCAGCAGCAGCGCCTCAGCAGCAGCAACAGCAGCAGCAGCAAACCCCACACAAAATGCTGTGTAAGGCCCTGCACATAAGCAGCCGCTGCGGCACTGCAGCCCAAACAAGTCGCTGAGCAAACGCACCACGAAGTGCGGATGCAGATAGAGCCCGCCTGCTGCTGCTGCTGCTGCTGCTGCAGTGGGTGCTGCTGCTGCTGCTGCTGCAGTGGGTGCTGCTGCTGCTGCTGCTGCAGGGCGCAGGTCATTTCCGTATTTGATCAGGAAAGAGATGATGCCCACGCGAGGGGCTGCAGTGTTTCCCACAATTTGAATTCTGCAACAGAAACACGCAGCTAGGGTTTAGGGTTTAGGGTTTAGGGTTTAGGGTCTGCAGCTGGCGAGAAGACGCTGAGGGCCAAAGGACGCAAAGAAGCATAAACGCAGGGAGGTGACTAGCAACGCAGCAGCAGCAGCAACAACAGCAGCTGCAGCAAGCGCAGCACAAACAGCAGCAGCAGCAGCAGCAGCAGCAAGAAATTTCAGCACCAGGAAGAAGAACAGCAGCAAGAGCGGAACGACACCACCAGCGAGCAGGCAGCAAGAACAACAGCAGCAGCAGCAGCACGAACAGCAGCAGCAGCACGAACAGCAGCAGCAGCAGCAACAGCAGCAGCAGCCCACCTGGGGTGGGCCCCCCAAACCCTAAGGAGGGCTCTTGCTGCTTGAGCTTCTCTGTCTCGCAGCTGCTGCAGCGGCAGCTGCTGCAGCAGCTGCAGCGCGAGAGCAGCACGGCAAATGGCGGGCAAGTTGGGGCTTCCTCCTTCTTCTCTTTCTTCTGCTCTGTCCATCAAATAGACTGCATGCAAAGACGCACTCAACTCCTGCTGCTGCTGCTGCTGCTGCTGCTGCTGCTGCTGCTGCTGCTGCTGCTGCTGCTGGGTTTGGGGCCACTTCGCGTTCACGAGGTACACGGAGCCGCCCGCCGGGTGGCCAGGCAAGTCCGAGAGCAGCAGCCGCTTCTTTACTAGCAGCAAACCTGAAGCAGCAGCAGCAGCAGCAGCAGCAGCAGCAGCAGCAGCAGTAGCAGCATTGCGCTCAGTACGCGCAGCAGCGGAAAGAGAAATAGGGCAGATGCGCAAGCAGCAGCAACTGCAGCAGCAAACAAAGCAGCAGCAGCCACAGTAAGTTCTGAAGCACAGCAAAACGCAACAGCAACAGCAACAGCAACAGCAGCAGCAGCAGCAGCAGCAGCTCGTGTACCTGCAGACCCTGTGCCTCCCAGGAGTTTATGTGGGGAGAAGAAAACGGCATCTGGAGCAGCAGCAGCAGCAGATACTGCTGCTGCTGCTGCTGCAGGAGATGAGGTGTTGGTGTCTGCTGCAGCAGCAGGACACAGCCAAGGGTGCGAAAACAGCAAGCGTGGGGGGGCCTCCTCCTCCTCTTCTTGCTGCTGCTGCTGCTGCTGCTGCTGCACTTGCTGCTGCAGCGGGTTGAAGTCAATGGGGACGTGTGCTGCTGCTGCTGCAGCATCAACAGCAACGAGGCCCCCATGAGCGTGCACGAGCTTGCACGCAGCAGCTAGAGTAGCAGCAAACGCGGAAGCTTCGCTGCTGCTGCTGCTGCTGCTGTTGCTGCTGCTGCTGCTGCTGCTGCAGCTACCTACAAACCTACGGCTGGCTAACAAAGTTCCCGTGACATTTCCTGCTGCAGAAAGGAGACAGACAGGGACGAGGCAAACCTTTTGCTGCTGCAGACCCAAGGCAGCAAAATATGACTCGAAGCCGCTGTAGCAGCAGGTAGGGCCCTTGCTGCTGCTGCTGCTGCTGCTGCTGCTGCAGCTGCTACTGCTGCTGCTGCAGCTGCTCCAGCCCGCCTGTGCATGCTGCTCCAGTAGCTGCTGCTGCTGCTCGCCTCTGCTGCTGCCGCTGCAAGCTTCGCAGCAGTCTTCCCCGTCTTCGGCCGTCCCTTGCTGCGGCTCTTCCTGCTGCTGCTGCTGCTGTTGCTGCTGCTGCTGCTGCTGCTGCTGCTGCTGGTTATACCGAGAGCAGCAGCGAGAGAGGCGCCGCAGCAGCCGCTTGAGGCCCCACAGGCAAAGGCCTCCTGTTGCAGTATCTAAAGACAGCAGGTGAAATGAGTATGAGACACCTGCTGCTGCTGCTGCTGCTGCAGCTGCTGCTGCTGCTGCTGCTGGGCCTGCTGCATCACGGCCTCCTGTTGATGTGCTGCAGGAGAGGGAGTCTTGCGGCCAGCAGTAGGCCCCCGCTTGAGCTGCTGCTGCTGCTGCTGCTGCTGCTCCAGCTCGGCTCTTCATGCTGCTGCAGTAGCTGCTGCTGCTGCTGCTGCTGTCCTGCCGTGTCTGTACAGCTGAAAACGGCAGCAGCAACGAGTGGTGGCCTGTGGGGTCGCAAAGGAATATGACGTGCACGTGGGGCTTCTGCTGCTGCTGCTGCTGCTGCTGCTGCTGTTGCTGCTGCTGCTGCTGTTCCTCCTGTTGCAGCAGCTGCTGCCTCTGCTCAGTCTGCTGCTGCGGCTCTTCACGCTGCCCAGCTTGGTCCAGTCCCTGGCCCTCCTCTTGTCCCCCCTGCCCCTCTCCCTGCTGCTGCTGCTGCTGCTGCTGCTGCTGCTGCTGCGCTGCAGCAGCAGCTTCTATGTCTGAGATTGCATGCACATACAAGTGCCGCCGCGCATGCAAAGAAGTCTTGAGGCGGCAGCAGCAGCGGCGGCAGCGAAAAGAGCCCCAGCGGTCTTCTTCGAAAACTTCGCTGAAGGCCTGCAAGTAGCTTTTGCTGCTGCTGCTGCTGCTGCTGCTGCTGCTGCTGCTGCTGCTGCTGCTGCTGCTGCTGCTGGGGTTGGCTGCAGCAACAGCAGCAGCGGCGGCAGCGGCCTGCGGGCCGGACAGCAGAGACACAGCCGCCGCCGCAGCAGCTGCAGTCGATGCTGCACCAGCTGCTGCTGCTGCTGCTGCTGCTGCCTGCGTCTCCTCTGCTGCAGCAGCAACCTGCGGGGCCCCCAGCAGCAGCAGCTGCAGCAGCTTTGCTGCTGCAGCAGATGCCCCAGAGCCACAGAAGTAAAGGGCGTCCTCGGGGCCTGCATTGAAGTACTCCTTCGCTATCTGACGCGCCTGAAAACTCCAAACCCTAAACCCTAAACCCTAAACCCTAAGCCCTAAACCCTAGCCGCCAAAGAGCCACTGCTGCCCTCAGGGCCTAGAGTTCCTCCCCGGCGAGCAACTAGGGTTTAGTTGGGACCTTGGCGAGGGGAGCCTACCGCCTGGGGTCTAGAGAGCTTAGGGTTTAGGGTTTAGGGTTTAGGGTTTAGGGTTTAGGGTTTAGGGTTTACCTCGCGGACAAAGTAAGTGGCCTGCCGCCCCAAAGCCGCCTGGTGGCTGTGGGTGTTTGCTGCGAGGGGCAGCACTGAGGTGTATATACACCTTTCCACGCAGCGCAGTGGGCGGCCTGCGCAGCACTAAACCCTAAACCCTAAACCCTAAACCCTAAACCCTAAAACCCTAAACCCTAAACCCTAAACCCTAAAGAAGGGCGAAATGTTGCACAGCGAAGTCAACAAACTGTTCACCAACGCGGGGGTGTTTCCCGCGCCCTGCATAAACCCTAAACCCTAAACCCTAAACCCTAAACCCTAAACCCTAAACCCTAAACCCTAAACCCTAAACCCCCACCCTAAACCCTAAACCCTAAACCCTAAACCCTAAACCCTAAACCCTAAACCCTAAACCCTAAACCCTAGGGCCTGCGGCGTGAACCCCAGACTTGGGTTCTCGTCTGCGGGCTTAAATAGTATTCAGAAATGCAAATTCAGGGGCTGTTGGCAGGCAGCACCAAGCCCTTAACGCTAAACCCTAGACCCTAAACCCTAAACCCTAAACCCTAAACCCTCGTGTACCCGTAGCAGCAAAATCGAAGTACAGCAAAGGCCTGGCCCCAAAGGGCCCAGATATAAACCCTGAATTGCTGCTGCTGCTCCTTCTGCTTCTCCTGCTTCTTCTTCTACTGCCACGCTTGCTGCTGCTTCTGCTGCTGCTCCTGCTGCTGCTGCTGGTGCTGCTGCTGCTGCTGTTGCTGCTGCTGCTGCTGCTGCTTAGACTGCGGCGGCAAGAACCCCCGATTTCATTGCGCCGGAGGAAAGTTAGGGCCTCGCGGACCCTTTGCGACTCTGACGCCATTCCCCCAACTCTAAACCCTAAACCCTAAACCCTAAACCCTAAACCCTAAACCCTAGGCTCCGAGTACTACGGCGTGAGCCAGCAGTTTCGCTCTAAATATCTCAAACCCAAATCCCGATATTGAGAAAAAACAGAAAACATGAAAGAATTTACTAGGGCTTGTGGCTGAGGGTTTAGGGTTTAGGGTTTTGGGTTTCAGGGTTTAGGGTTTAGGACCATTGGCTGCCCCACACTGGGGGCCCCGGGGCCCCCTTGGAGCATAAGGAGCAATGCTGCTCCTCTACACCCTAGGTCCTAAACCCTAAACCCTAAACCCTAAACCCTAAACCCTAACCCTTGCGTTTGAAATTACAATTCGCAGCTCTAGACCCCCAGCAGCAAACCCTAAACCCGAAACCCTAAACCCTAGGCCCTGAGCTTCCGGCCAAGTGACCTTCAGTGGATTCATTGGCGAACTCTGCTGACCACGGGTCTAGTGTTTAGGGTTTAGGGTTTAGGAATTAGGGTTTATTAGGGGGGCCCCGTAAACATAGACAGGGTCACTTTGGGGGCCCCCAGGGGCCCCAGGGGCCCCCAGGAGATGCAAGCAGCACACTGGGGGGTCTTGCAGCAGCAGCAGCATTCCGACGGCGCCGCTTTGGGCTGCGACTTTGCTGCAGCAGCAGCGAGCAGCAGCAACGCTGCATTCTAACGCAGCAGCAGCAGCAGCAGCAGCAGCAGCAGCAGACGCAGGAGCTGCAGAAACACCTGCACCTACAGCCCCAGCAGCAGCAGCAGCAGCAGCAGCAGCAGCATGTGGTGAAACCTCTGCGGGGCTCTCTCTTGAAGCCTCATCAGCAGCAGAAGCAGCAGGAGCAGCAGCTGGAGAACCTGCAGCAGCAGCGGGCGCAGGAGCAGCAGCAGCAGCAGCAGCAGGAGCAGCAGCAGCAGCAACAGGAGCAGCAGCAGCAGCAGCAGCAGGAGCAGCAGCAGCAGCAACGGGAGCAGCAGCAGCTCTGGTTGGTTTGCTGCACTCCGAAGATGTTGAATACCCTGGGAGGCCCCCCCCTCCCTTTTGTGACTTCTTGTGGGTCAAGGCGAAGGGGGGTCGGGGGGGGGCCCCCAAAGAAGGGGCCTTCAGGTTAGGGTTTAGGGTTTAGGGTTTAGGGTTTAGGGTTTAGGGTTTAGGGTTTGGAGGGTTTCTGGGCTAGTGCGGCGGGACTGGTGGGTAGCGAACCGGACGAGGGGTTAGGCCTAAGGCTTACTAGGAGCATTTTTGGTCCATTAGGGTTTAGGGTTTAGGGTTTGGGGTTTGGAAAGCAAGGTTCACGGCTCAGAATTTTGGACCTGCGGTTTAGGGTTTAGGGTTTAGGGTTTAGGGTTTCGGGTTCCATGTAAGGGTTTCGACTTCAGTGCCTAGGGTTCAAAGTTTCGTGTTCAGTGCCTAGCCGAAGAACTCACAAATCAGGGTTTAGGGTTTAGGGTTTAGGGTTTAGGGTTTAGGGTTTAGGGTTTAGGGTTTAGGGTTTAGGGTTTGTGCAGGAGTGGGGCGCTGGGCAAGGGCCCTGGCTACGGCGGCCACGGCGGCTCTGTGCTGCTGCGCTGCAGCAGCACAGTGGGGTGTCTGTACACTGTGCAGCAGCAAATTGCTGCAGCAGCAGGAGGCGACGGGCAGCAAACCAGCAGGGGTTTGCACGCGCCCGACACAATTGTCAAGGTCCCAAACCCTAAACCCTAAACCCTAAACCCTAAACCGTAAACCCTAAACCCTAAACCCTCAACAGTGGACCCGCATGTGTGGTTTCTGGCCTCCGCGCCGCCTGGGGCCTGTCGGCTTAAAGGCTCATGTTTTACTAGGGTTTGGGGTTTAGGGTTTAGGGTTTAGGGTTTAGGGTTTAGGGTTTAGGGTTTGGACTGTGCCTGCAGCTGCCCCCGGGTACGATCGTGCGCAAGAGAATTCTGACGGGGCAGAAGAGCAGCAGCGGCAGAGCTATCAGGGCCTCTGTATTCTGGTAAACCCTAAACCCTAAACCCTAAACCCTAGCGCCTACGCAGGCTGTCGAATGCTGAACCCTCGCGCTGTCTTTATAGAGAGTCTTCAGCCTAGGGCTCTGCAGGGTTTAGGGTTTAAACATCTGCCCGGCGTGAGACTAGGGATTTAGGGTTTAGGGTTTAGGGTTTAGGGTTTAGGGTTTAGGGTTTAGGGTTTAGGGTTTAGGGTTTGGTGCGCCCAGGCAGCAGCTGCTGGAGGAGGGCCAGTCTCTGCTGGTAGCTGCTGGCGGCCGAGGGGGAATAGCGCCGCCAAGTTTGAAGCAGCAGAAAAAGAGGAGGGCTCCAGAGGTCAAACCCTAAACCCTAAACCCTAAACCCTAAACCCTAAACCCTAATCCCTGACGCGTAGGCCGCGTATCTGTTGCTGCTGGTGGCAGCGTGGCGCTTGGGGATTTCCAGAAAACGAAAATGAAGGGTTTAGATCGTTTGGTTGGGATGGGGCTTAGGGTCTAGGGTTTAGGGTTTGGGGTTTGGGCTTTAGGGTTTAGGGTTTAGGGTTTGGGGTTTAGGGTTTAGGCTGGAGAGAAGGTGCACCTCGAACTGGAGCTGCGGCTCGTGAATGACGTGGGGGTTGTGGGGGAAAGCGCAGCAGGAAAAACCTCCCTTGTCTCCGCCTTGACTGAGTACGTCTAGGGTTTAGGGTTTAGGATTTAGGGTTTAGGGTTTAGGGTTTAGGGTTTAGGAGGAGCGAGAGGGTTGCGGCCGACGCAGTGCAACGTATGAAGCAGCACTTTCTTTTCGGATCGCTAGAGCTGCGTCGCGAGAGCTCCGCCCAGGGTTTAGGGTTTAGGGTTTAGGGTTTAGGGTTTAGGGTTTGGAGTGCAGCTACCAGTCCCGAATAGGCCCCGGGGGTTTCCGCACGCGAAGGCCTTTTGTGGCTTCTTTGTTTTGGGCCTCTGGAGAGAAGGCTTTGCTGCTAGACCCTCCTGCGCTTTTCCCGGGAGCCCACAAAGTACAAACCCTAAACCCTAGCAAACCCTAAACCCTAGCAAACCCTAAACCCTAGTAAACCCTAAACCCTAGTAAACCCTAAACCCCAAACCCTAGGCGCTGAGCGCTCGGCAGGACCTGAGGGCACGCACCAGCGATCTGAAGAGAACGAGCTACGGCGGAAGGCTGTCTTTTAGGGATTAGGGTTTAGGGTTTAGGGTTTAGGGTTTAGGGTTTGCGAGGCGCAGGACAAGAGGCTGGGTCTGCGCATTCTGCGGCACTACTACCGATCGCGTGTCTTCTTATATGTAGTCGATCCCACGCAGCAGCAGCAGCAGCAAGACCCCCGGTTGCTGCTGCAGCAGCAGCAGCAGCAGATTGGCTTGCTGCAGTCGCAGCAGCGCCTTCTGCAGCAGCAGCAGCAGCAGCAGCAACTCGAAGACGGCAGCAGCGACACGCGAAGCAGCACCGCGCTGAGTCCATCTTCGCAGCAGCAGGACGGCGAGCAGCAAGAGCAGCAGCACCAAGAGCAGCAGCAGCAGCAGCAGCAGCAAGAGCAGCAACAGCAGCAGCCGCAGCAAGAGCAGCAGCAGCAGCAGCAGCAGCAGCAGCTAGAGGAGAGCCGGCTCCTTCAGGTGTATGGAGAATATTCTCCAGATGTTTTTTGTCAATTTTTGCGGCTGCGAAGAGAACTGAGGATTTATGATAAACACTTTGACAGGAAAAAGGAGCTCGTAAACCCTAAACCCTAAACCCTAAACCCTAAACCCTAAACCCTAAAAAACCCTAGATCATCCAAGTCAGGTCCGCGGGGCTGCTGCCGCGCGTGTTGGCTCCACTGATGCAGGAACTGCTGCTACTGCTGCAGCTACTGCTGCTTCTGCTGCTGCTGCTGCTGCTGCTGCTGCTGTTGCTGCTGCTGCTGCTGCAGGTGGTGGTAACAAAGTGCGACGCGTTGGAGCACCAGCCGCTGCTGGCAGCAGATTCTCTTCACCACCGCATGCAGCACTTCTTCCCCCAGATACCTGTAATAGGTAAACCCTAAACCCTAAACCCTAAACCCTAAACCCTAGACGCTAGACCCTTGCACAGCGCAGCTGCTATTAGTGCTGCTGCTGCTGTTGCTGTTGTGCTGCAGCGGCATCTCCTCGCTTTGGGCTTGGTTGCGCAGCAGTAGCAGCAGAGATTCACAAACTGCTGCTGCTGCAGCAGCAGCAGCAGCAGCAGCAGCAGCAGCTCGAGCCAATAAGAAGGGCAACGGTCAACCTGGAAGAAGACGCTCTTATTTTAAAACCCTAAACCCTAAACCCTTCTCATGGAAGCATATTTAATTCCTTTGACTCCATTTTAGGGTTTAGCTCTTTTTAGGCTGGCTGTCTGTTTCAACCCTAAACCCTAAACCCTAAACCCTCAGCATCGAACAGCCGTATAGACGTAACCAAGATAAATGACGTTCGGTGTTGCAGCTGTTGTTGCCGTTGCTGTTGCTACTGCTGTTGCTGCTGCTGCTGCTGCTGCTGCTGCTGCTGCTGCTGCTGTGCAGCGCAGCAGCAGCGCGCGTTGCTGCGGCCGCAGCAACAAAGCACAGCAGCAGCAGCAGCAGCAGCAGCATTGTTGGCTGCACAGACGCTGTCTTCACTTGTCACACAGAGGCCCCCGAAAGTCCCTTTGGCGGGGAGTTGGGGGCCCCCCTGAGTGCATGCAGGGGGCCCCCTGAGTGCATGCAGGGGGGCCCCCTGAGTGCATGCAGGGGGGCCCCCCTGTCTGCATGCAAGAAGTCCTTGGCCATTCCCCGGGGGGCCCCCGGGGGCCCCCAGTGGGGGCCCCTCCTTGACAAAAGGGGGGGGCCCCCAAGGGTTCGTTCGGCCTAAATAAAATAGACGGCGCACAAACTGTAGTCCTTAAGCGGGGGGCCCCAGCGGGGGGCCCCAGCGGGGGGCCCCCCTAAGAGAAGGGGGGGCCCCCCTAAGAGAGGTAGGGGCCCCCCTAAGAGAAGGGGGGGCCCCCCTATTGGGAGGGGCCCCCTCCTAAGAGAGGGGCCCCCTCCCAAGAGAGGGGGCCCCCGGGGCCCCAACTTGGGGCCCCCCGCCCCTGCGGAGGTCGTGGCCTTTGGCTCACAGCAGCAGCAGCAGCGCAGCAGCAGCAGCAGCAGCAGCAGCAGCAGCAGCAGCAGGGGTTTAGTAAGTGCCTCTGGCGGTGGCGAGGTCGAAGTCTGCTGTGGTTGCGAGGCGTTTGTAGTAGACGGCGTCGATGGCGGGGGTTTTCTGTCGGGAGAGGTCGACTTGGAGAATGACTTCGAAGAGGTTTGCTGCTGCTGCTGCTGCTGCTGCTGCTGCTGCTGCAGTTGTTGCTGCTGCTGCTGCTGGGGCGGGGCGGACCCACGCGCGGAAGGCGCCCTGGATGTCGAGCATCTGGCAGGCGGGGGGGAGGCTGAGTGTGGCGACGACGCTGTCGAGGGGTTCTGCTGCAGCAGCACTTGCTGCTGCTGCTGCTGCAGCAGCAGCAGCAGCAGCAGCAGCAGCGGGGGCCCCAGCAGCAGGGAGCCCGAGGAGGACTTCGTTTCTGGTGGCGAAGACCCGCGGGCTGAAGGGCAGCAGCGCCCTCCAAGTGCACCTCCCAGCCTCCCTAAACTGCACCCCGCTGCTGCTGCTGCTGCTGCTGCTGCTGCTGCTGCTGCTGCTG